GTTTAGCAGATGGAAATATGTTCACCCAAAGCTCTAAGGATTGGAGAGGGGTGAAGAGTTTTTGAAAAAGTGTTAATATGAAATCCCATGTGAATGAGATAATGAGTAGGCACAAGCTTACACTTTGACTTTTGAACACTCCATTCCAGAGTAACTGGGAGGTCAGTTCAGTGTGAGGCAATGACTGAGTAAGAATCCTCAAATAATTTATGTAATGATGACATCCAATAATGAGCATGTATGTGTAGAAGATCAGCTAATGGTTTGACTACGTGCATGAAGACATAGGTGTTGTAACCAAAAAGAAAGGAGGGTGAATCCTTGATGAAGGAACTTTCATAGGTATCTCATAGGTTTCATCTGGAAAGTAGGAATATCTAGATAACAAATGAGATGGAACAGACTAAGATCTCCAATCTCCTGTTTTCTTTGGCTCCATAAAGAGTACAAAACCTCAGGGAAGCATGAAGTACAATATTGATTTACTCTTGTGGAAAAGATTCAAAACCTCCAGATTCAAAATCCAATAGAAACTCGAGGGCTAAAACCAGAAAAGGATGAACAGAAAGTCAAACTAAAGAATCTGATGAACCTAATGAACACAAAGTCAAGGGTTCACAGATGAACAAAAATCTGATATGACACAAAAGTTTAGACACGGGATTCATCCAGAACAGAGTCAGTAAGTGGGTCATAAAGATCCACCTTGCTTACGTTGATGCCAGGCCATACAAAAAGTGTGTGTAGATGTAGCCAGCATCGAAGTGATGACCAGAAGCAAACAGATGCAAAAACCCTTAGGAAATAAACACCATGGAAGACATCTGGGCAAAGAAAGGGAGCCCAACAAATACCATGCACATAAGGAGGAAAGAGTACAGTAAAGAAGATTGTAGCCTAATCCAGTAAGTCCTGATAGCAGTGTACAAAGAAAAGAAAGAAAGAGCAGAAGTGGGATAGGATAAGCTGGCAAAGAGAAGGGAATGAACATCTACAGGAAACCATTTGAAGCACAACAAGCTCCCTTAGATAGAAGGCAGTTAAGAGAGAGAATATAGGAGAGTAGTGAATAAAAGATGAACATGTGAAAATGGAGAACCTGTTAGCAAAATAGAAGATAATAGGCCCAATTCCCAAGCTGGCCAAAAAGATATTAAAGACAAGGAGTCAGGGAAAGGCAAAAAGTCTACAGATCTGAACAAAAAGAGTCACGAACACAAGGGTATTGGGTGTGAGAGAGAAGCTATTAGAGAAAGGAAACAATATAAATCCTAATAACAAGTAGGGAGAAAAGACTAGGTAAAACCAAAGAACTGTGGATTATGAAGTAGATGAAAAAAGAATAATAATGAAAATTGCAAGCAAAATATTAGAAAGGGAACATACCTAAGAATGAACTCCAGAAAAAGATTGGTAGGTTAAGATCCTTTCACGAATGTTAAGGCACTACCCAAAGCAGTCAGGTTAAAGTGGTAATCCAACAGAACATTCCTGATTGAGAGGAAGCAATTTTGTCTGAGTAAGCATATGATAATCCACAATACTTTGAACAATGGCTGTAATATCCTCAACAGTTAATGAGCCTCCACAAGCCATAACATAAACACGACCTGTGTTTCTACAATGTCATTCACACAGGGCTAAGTACAAATTACTGCCATTGGATAATTCACAATAAAAATTAAAGCTTTTGAAAGAAAATCCATAGAAAATGATAATCAAAAATTTGTTTACAATGCAATTCTCAACAAATTGGATTCAGATCAGAAATTTAAATACATCTGTCCAATACAATGCTGAAGAGAAAAATGAAGTTATCATAAGTGCAGATGCATAGGGGAGTTACTGCACATGGAAGTTATGTCCTTCTCCTATTGGTGGAGGGCTTTTGTTGTATGACAACATCATCATCACGCACCAGTACAGTTCATGTTAAAAAGACATGAAATTAGGTGGAAGTTGTTGCAAGACTAGTGGTATGTAAATATCTTATGCAGACACATGAGGAAGATAACTAGACTGTGTATAAAGGTGAGTTATTGTCTCAGAAAAACCCATTCACCATGCAAAGGACTAGACAAAAACCACATGTGCAGATGAAGGTGTGACAAAAATGGAGATTCAAGACAGAAGAGAAAAAGGTCCCAGGAATGCCAACAGGGAAAGGAGCAAAAAAGTTTAAAAGGAAACTAAGCATACAACAAGAGGATGGACTAATCCAGACTGAGAGGGAATTCTGCCAGAGCCATGGAGTCTGGGACTGTGACAAGTACATCAATAAAGGGATTCCCAAAGTGGGAACCAATCCACAGAAACATGAAGGGATGTCAAGTATGGGTGAGACAGTTGATCCACCACTAAATTCAAAGTTTCTAAAATATAAGAGACCAATAAATAGTAAGCTGAAACATGGAGCTTAAGAACAAGAAAGCAAAGAGCCAATGAGTTGATGGTTGATGTAAGAAATTATGGTGGAGTTGTCAAAATAGATCAAACATGATGTCCAGACAGCCATAACAACAGAAGGTGGCAGGTCCATTGAACAACCCACATACCAAGGACACTGATGTAGAAAGGCCTCCCCAGAGAGGCATCTACACACAGGTGAAAGTCTAAGCATGGTGGATGGAGATGGATGCTCAGAATCATGTGAACACATTTGAACCACTACAATAGTGAGAAGTAAGAGAAGCATGTGTAGAAATAAGAGAAGACAATGGATCACAGGATATATTCCACTAATCTACAAAAATACACTGAAAGGGACACATCCAGAAGAGGAAGGGAAACAAAATCCATGGAAACCAGAAGTTCTAAATCTCAGTAATGTACAGGAGAAAGTTGATCTTATCCAGCAAACAAAGTGATAAAGCCTCCAATATGAACAAGATACTAAATGAGAGTCAATAGTGACTTAGTAGCTTTCCTAATCTACCCAAATGAGAAATCAGAAGAAGGGAGGGCATAACATACAATTTCTCCAAGGGCAGGGCTAGGAGATGTCAAATGTCCATAAAGTGGTAGAAATGCAGCTCCAACAATGCATTCTCCACGTGAAAGTCCTTAGGATGTAGTTGAAAACATACGTGTATAATTTCTGAAAGACACAGAAAGCTTTCGAGAGAAAAGCTGTGTGATCCAAAGGTTTCCTCCAAATTGGCCAAGCATAAGAGCCAAACTCTCATAGAACATAAGCTAATGGATGGGCTGAGAAACAGCTGATCACACAGCCTCATAATGGCTAACCTCTTTGGAAAGGGCCACAGGACAAGGAACTCTACAAAAAAAGTCTCCATAAAGGAAGGGTGTCAAACAGAGTTTTCCAAGATAAAACTGAGGAAGTCTAACTCCAGAAGAGAAGGCATCTCAATGAAGCAAATCTCAAAGATAATTAAAAGCAAGTAACTTGGAAGTAGTTGAAGAAAATGGAGAAGCATGAAGAACAAGATAGTTCTCCAGTAATTTTTTCAGGGTATCTATGCAAAGCTTCAGAAGGAAGTGGTAATCAGGACAGCATGATTAGAAAGTTATGTGAATAAACAAAAAATGAAAACAAGAGAGTCAATGCAGGAAAGAAATTCCCCAAACTGGGAAAAAGGATTCTAGGGATAGAAGCCCTAGAATAGCGGAAGAATTCCAATCAAAAGCTCCAAAAATGGAATCTTATTATGGGAGGGTAGACAACCGAAAACTAACATGAAGCAGAGACAGAAAAAAATTGCAATATTTCAATAACCAGGTAGAGGGGAGAAAACACCTTTTGAGTTGAGGTGCATGCAAGAAGCTCATCCAAGAACTTGCAGAATGGGAGTAAAAGTTCAAATGTCACAATGTAAGATGCACAAGTTATCAAAGCAGCAAAGGACAAGGGTGAATGTTACCTGATTCCTGTCAGGGATAAAAAAACAAGAAACCAGAAGCAAAGACAGGTCCAGCAGAAGTTACAGAAGCAAAATGCCATGAGTACAGGGTCCAAGTTGAAGAAAGTAGGAAAGAACAAACCTCGTGATGTGCAATGGCATAGCATTTCTCACCATCAGAATAACTAGTAACCATTTAAATGAAATAAGACAATTCCTATGGAGAAGAGTTTGGACTTCAGAAGGTTTCAGAAACATGAATATGAGAAATCATATTCATTAAGATTCATAAAACTGAATTCCTGTGAAGTAGCAACTATAATATTATTATTTTTGTTTATTTGTTATTAATTATTTTCCTTAGTAAGTCTAGTATGTCGATGGTGCTTGGTAATTTTTCATATTGATGAAATTTAGATTAAAATTTCAACACCCAAACATTGGGTTAATGACAATGAGGAATACTCCTGTCAAACAAACTGTATCACAAACTTTGGAATACATCTCAAAATATCACAGTTTGACTGGGAAATAAAATCAAGTTAATGTATGAAAGATAATGATTCCTATCAGAAATTCTAACTGAAGTTTTAAAAAGTTTGTATCTTTCTTCAAATCAAGAAAAATAACATTTTGAATGTTAACTAAAAGTTGAATATAATAAGTAGAAAATTTCTGTAATTCTTAATGAAAAAAAACATTACTGAATATTGCAGTGCCGAGAATAAAAATTAGCCATTGGTGTATGCAAAGAGCTCAAGAAAAGTACTGTGCATGGATATATCATTTGAGAAAAGTTTTGGCTGTCTTTAATCCTTCAACCTGACAAGGTCTGGATGAGACTTTTTTTAAAGTGTTAATTTAAAAATAATTTGCCAATCCATAAAACACAACATTTTAGACATCCATATCTGTGACGTAACAACATCCACAATACTTTACATGTCCTTGCTGGTATAACAGTCTTTTGATCTAAATTATTTTCTTAATGTTTGATTTACTGCAGTAAATTTTACGAATTTTCTCTTATGTTAAAATTTGAAATTCACCTTTTATTATTAAAATGTACCTTTTTTTTCCAGTTTCCATAGATTTATTTTTTTATTATGGTGGTTAAAATTTTAATTACTTAATTCCTACCCTTCACACTCTTCCTGTTTACTTTGGCTCCACCATCAATCAGGTATTCTGCAATCTTCAAATGACCTTTATAACAGGCAATCATTAGACAAGTGTGGCCATGACGATTTGCAATCTCAACGTTTGCTCCTTTTTCCACAAGGAACTTCACAATCTCAAAATGTCCATCAAAACAGGCTGCTCTCAGTGGTGTAGAATTAGTTTTAGTTGTGCTATTTACGTTTGCTCCATGTTCAACAAGAGATTTCACTACCTTAAGGTGACCTGAAGCTGCTGCAGACCACAGTGGAGGGGCACCTTCAATATTTTCTCCATCAAAAGATACTGAACCCACCTTTTAACAGATAATTTGCAATTAAGTACTATGAAATAATGATTAGTAAACACCAAATAAAAAAAATATATAAAGCATATACCATTTAAAGACAGTTTCTAAATTGATGATTAATAACAACTGATTACATACCATTAATTGTTTTTAAATATTAAGTCTAAAGAGAAAAATAATAATCTTAAAGATTATGATTGTTTTTAAAAACTACTGATGTATCTATATAAATATAATAGTACTGTCTGTTGTATGTCCATGTAACTGCTTTACAGGGTGTGGATGGATCTTCACCAAAATTGGTATGGAGGTTCATTGTGTCCATGGGGAGATGTATACAAATTTTCAGTTTTGCATTTCACGTTTTATGGGTATTTTTTATCACTACCTCACCCCCTGTGGATGGATCTTCAACAAATTTGTTATGAAGGTTTGTTGGGTCTATGCAGAGATACATGCAAATTTGAAATTTCACATTTTGCAGTTTTTATGGCATTTTTGCATTTTTTACAATTACATAAAAGGGAAGCAACTTTTCATATCCTAAGATAACCTCTCATTAATCATGAATTTACATAACATCCATCCAGGGGACGGGTACTCCAGCTAGTATATAATAATGTTACTGACAAGCTCAATTTGAAGAGTAGAAGGCACACAGCAATTATCTTTTACGTGTTATCCAAGAGCATTACCAAGTTCACAACTAAGATAAGGCTAAGTCACTTATATCATGATGATATTCAGTCTAATAACAAAACTATGAAGTTAGCTAATCACCCAGAATCTTTTTCATGAATCACAAGCAAACCAATTCTTCACAATTTTTAATCACTAGCAGATGAGTTATCTGCATTTTTGAAAAAAGATTATAACTGTTCAAAAGGTTAATATTAAACTTTGATTAAAGTGTATTTATTCATCCCCTTTTCTTCCAAAAACAAATCAGAATGCATGGGCAGAATATGTAACCCTCAAGTATCTGGTAGAGGCTATAGATGTAAGTTGAGGTGAAAACAAACAGATGAAACTGAAATATTACAAAACAATCTGAGGATTTTTTAAACCTTTACCTGTCCTTTTTTACATTTACCTTTTATGAAAATGCATGAGTTTCAAAATGCATGCAAGATAATAATAGGTTGTCATATTAACACATACATCTTTTACATGTGATTGACTTCAGACAATTCAAAAATAGACATCCAATTTGAAACATGCTGATAGAAAAACTATTTATATAGTATATGCTAAAGCTGTACTACAGTTTAAAATAGTTTTAAATTGTTAAAATAATACAGAATGTCAAACTTTGTAGAATTTCTTGCCTTAAACAAAAATTAAATAGAATATTTTCTTGCTTACTTAACCCACTGGTTACAAAACTAAGACAAAGCTGCTTCATAACCAGCATTATCATAGGTTACTGTTTCTAATAAGACCCAGAACTAATTGTTTAAACATGGATAAAATAAAATTTTTCTTTATCAGTCTTTTTTAATGTTCTAAAATAGGAATATCAAAATTTATATGGTGCTCACACACACAAGGAAAGATGGAATGAGTTTTCACACAAAAGTGTGTATTATTGAGAAACAACCCATAAATAATGATGTAATGTTGTCTCTTGCTGTGTTTATTCTTTTAAATTATTTGATGAAAATAAAGACAAGTCCGGTCCACATAATGATAATGAATTAATTTATGTTTTTAATAATATTTCTGCAGGAATAAGTTCACAAATACATTTTTACTTTCAAATTCAATAGAGACTTACTCACTAGTGGTACTAACACAGATCCAAGTAATTCTCTGAAAATGTATTTCTGATAGATACCTCTTTGCACATAATATCCATTCCTCGCACTTCTGCATGAAAAGCAACACTTGTGGGAGACCAGATTTACCTCATGCCTCTTTGCCTGAATGGAAGTATGAAGAAAGGAAGGCAAAGTGAGCATTTGCACACAACAGGTAGACACAAGGTACAGTGTGATTAGGGCAATGATCAGACTGTACAGATTGGTATGTATTCTGTTGTATCATGTGTAGGAGAACACTTTGCTCCATCTGGCTGACCAAACTACTGGGCAATTGACATATTATATAATAGAGGGTGATTTGCATTACACTGACATGAACAACCCTGCCCTATATCCCACTACACTGAGCTATCCACTAAGACTGGAGGGATCGCACAACTGACGAGGAACTCTCCAATTCAACCACTTGGTACTAGGAACTGATAAGTGGTAAGTTCTTCAATTAATGAACAGAAAGGAAAAAACTTTTGTTGGGGAGACATTGGAGAGGTGCTCAGGCCCAATCAGACCTAACTGTCTCAAGGGTCTTTTACTGGAGAAAGTACTGCAAAACCTAAGAGTGTGAGTCAGGGAAATGGGCAGACACTCCCCTGGTGCTGCCTTTTTCCATGATAGTTCATGGAAGGTAATGTCTGAAATGGACAATGATATATTAAGACCACTAAATTGGTATGTACATATCATTGTCCATCTTAAACCTCCCATCTTAATAGTGGGCACATCTGGAGCAAAAGCAGATAGGTTTAGTGCTTTCTGTTACACCTGACTTGTAAGTACATCCAGCAAGGCAACACCCATCACTAAGTGGGTTCCTAGAAGTGAATTATGTAATAGAAGAAATGGGTAAGGAAGTAAAAGTATAAGATGAGAGATCCATGGAAGAAGAGTGGTCCCATAGTAAGAATAAATGATTGTAGGAACTCCTAAATGGAGCTGTGCATGTCAGGTAACACCTAATTGCTCAAATTGGACACAAAAAACTATCAGGATCAGCACAACCATAAAGGGTTGAGGTCGATGAAAATGTAATGGAAAAGAAAGAAATATCTGCTTTCCAAGTCATTCAAGTCCAAGAAGAAACAAGTGATCATGGAACAAGAGCAAGAAAGATCTGTGAAATAAAGTATGGGAGGCATCCAATGCATATAGATCAAATCTGTGATGACCACAAGCAAGAAGAAAAAGAAAATAGGTTTTGAGAGAGAGAGATGATATACTAAAGAAGTGGCCAGTCAGGCAAAGGAATTGGATGAGGAGAACAATGAATGAGAAAGGATCGGAACAAGGTGGAAAGAACAGGGGAGAAAAAGACAGAACCATATATAAGAACAACATGAAGAGGATAAAATAAGGGCTATGCAGGGAAAGGAGAAATTCCACTTGTAAAGATAAAGGGACAATACTCCCAGGTGAATGACAAACATATTAGGTTGTAGCAAGAGTGACCAGGCATGAAGAAGAAAAAGATATGCCTTAGATAACAGTCAGTGAAGAAGAGGAAACCAAGACTGACCAGATCAAAAGGGGACTGCCAATAGGACCCAACACAGTGTTACAAATCAAAGTTAAGACATGTAGATGAAAGCAAAGGGGAAGGTACACATAAAGAAAGAGATGAGACCAGTCAACCTAATGGTGAAGTACTAGGGATCAAAGAGAGGAAGTTTGGAACCAAGAGGAATGATGAAAGCATTGATTACTGGTATGCCCAACTGGAAACACATACAACAAAAGACCTGAGAATGAAATGACCACACTGTAGGTAGAATCCTGTCCAGTCGAGAGAGCCAATCAACTACCACAGAGAAATGGCAGGTGGTTAGACAAACTCGATGTGAGTGGGACCAAAACAGAAAGTCCAATGTGAAGGAAAGGTTTCTGAAGCAAGTTTCACCTGGACCACTGATATGGGAAATAACTATAGAATTGTTAGAATAGATCATAATCAGGTGATTCACAAGGTGAGGTAGGAACAGACCTGATGAACATCCAAGAGTTCCAGAACATTTATGTAGAAAGAGTGCTCCACACGAGACCAAACCCCAGATATGCCCCAAGCCATAAGAGATGCATCTGTGAATAGATGGAAATCCAGATGCAGAGGCAGCAGTGGAATGCTGACTATAGTGTTGGCATGATCCAACCAACAAAACAGAAGAGGAGGCAGCAGCATCACAAGAGAAAACAAAGGGTCATAGGAGATATTCCATTGACTGCTCAAAGTCCACTGAAAATGAATCATGTGCACAGCATAAAAGGGTTCAATGTGAAAGTCCCCTAAAGAGTTAGAATCTCTCATACACAAAGTATAGAAGATGCAAATCAAGGTGACAAGACACTCCATGTTTTGCATTGTATGGGGGAAAGGCTGAGCTCAACTGAATCAAGAATTAAGTACTAGGTTGGAATGTGGAATAACTTGAAAGAGAAAGGGGCCTCCCAAGGAGAGAAAAGAGGAACCAGTCATCCATGTAATAATGGAAATGAACTCCATGACTGTGGATGGGGTGAACAAATCCCCCTAATGACTCATCTGAAACCTGGTACACCTTATCCCAGTGAATGAAGTGAAGAAAACATCAGGAAGCAAGGCAATAAGAATACATGGTAAGGCATCTGAGATATAGACCTTGGCCATCCATAGTCCAGGGGAAAAGAACAAATGGAGAGGAAGAAACCCCTCCATCTTGAACTGAATAACCAATAGATAGTGGCTGAAAGAAGATACGTCAATGATGGGATATCATTCCCAGTACATTTAGAGAGAAGAAAAGAGCTTATAATAAAACCATGGAGACGGACAAAGGAGCCACTTGATGGTTTTCTTGTCCAAAAAATCTGATACCACAGCCTCAAGATGCAGCAGATGCTGAGGATTAGAAGGTGGAGAAACAGGAACAGGAAAATGAAACAGAGGAAGAAGAGATGAGAAATGAAAAGAAAGGCCATGTGTAAAAACTTGAATGGTGTACAAAGGTCTGCAAACAGAAACAGATATGCATTCTTGGGGACTGAGCCGACTCAGTGCAAAGAGAGGTAGTCACAAATGTGGCTTATGACAGAAAGCTTTACAAGAGAGGACAAAAGCAAAAAGAAGAAGAGGGTTGAGAAATAAGAAAAGAGAGAGGTTAAGAAACAGGTATGGATACACAAGATTTGGAGAGATGAGAGAGCAAGGAGGAA